TGTAGTGTTTATACATTATAGTGAGTATTAAGGCTTCTGAAACATTTTGGGGTTTTGTTTGTGACATGGGTAGAAGTGGTCTGTGCACCTTGATCAAATTCACATTGATGCTTCAGAAGGGGTAATAGCATGCTGCATACTCAGAATGGGAGCCCTAGAAGTGTTGCATCTAGTAGTTCACTTCTTTGTAAAACTGTTTTGAAAGTCAAAGCACTGTGGATAAAAAAAAAAAAAAAAAAAAAAAAAAAAAACCAACCAACCAAACAACAAACCAACACTATTTGTTATTGATGCAGTTATAGAGGGATCCTGTGCAGAACTGGAAAAGATGTAAGGCACCAAAAGTAGCATTAAATCTTCCATTCCTACTCTGGCAACAGTTACTCTGACAGACTTTAGTTGTGAGAATGGCTTTTACACAGTACTGTTGCCAGCTGTGGCTTGGAACAAAAGATTTCTCCTAGCCTGGTGTTCTGTTTCCCAGAAGCCAGGTCAGCCACATTTCCTGAAAGTACCTTTTGAAGAGATTGTCCAAAGACAACTGAAATCCCTGTCTTCAGACTCGTGCATCAATGTTTTGATTAACAGGTCAACAAACAACATGTGTATATTCTCTAGTTGAAGAGCATTCGCAGTTCATCCTACTGCAAATTTAACACAAAAGCAAGTGAGTGTACAGGACAGGTAAACAACCTATCCTTAAGACTGTGAGGCTTGTCAGAAGACCGCAAAGCAACTCACTGAACAGCCAAGGAGAAAGCATGAGGCCACATGCTGGTGAATGGTTCATGTATGATTCCAAATGAACATGCTGCTTAAAGCACAAGAGCAGAAAGAAAGACAACTATGGCAGGAATGAAAGACAGTTGTTCTGCCTGTGCTGAAGGGTTTGTGGCTGCTGGTGGTGGTGGGATGGAGGAAGTGGAATTCTACCCTGGGTGAAGAATTCCTTGTTAGTATAAAAACCAGAAATAGGAATAGCATTTCACAGCCCAAGAAATCTCCAAGTACAGGTGAGGACCTGAGGGCTTCTTGATATCCTTCATTGCCAGAAACCTCTCTCTCTAAAACTGTTTAAGGTAAAAGAAGACTGGGAATTCTGAAGGAAATGCAAAGCAAGAAGGCAAACTTCTAAAACTCAGTGGAGAGAAGAGTGAAACTCTTGAACCAAAGATAAGGCAGGAGCAGATGAGCAACTGGGCAAACATATACATGTTCTGGAAGATCATAAATGAGCTTGCTTTTATCTTGATATATTTTTTGCTACACAATGGTGAGGTACAGGACCATAGTTTTTGTTTAGTATACATCATTGAAGATCTACTTAAGACAGACACAAATCTGTCAACATTCTTGTTTTCTGCTCCTAAACCTTTTCTGTGGTGACTAAATGAACTCCTATGCAGGCTACAAATCTCCTGTAGTTTTTAAAAAGAAAGCAATCACATTACTGTGGGTGGAACTCTTAAGGTGGCTCTATTTAACATCTTGAGGACTGCATATTTTTAGACTTTGTGTTTGAAAGGTGTTAAAGGGAAAAGGGGTTGATGTAAGTGCCCTATTAAAAAAAAAGCCAGCAGCTTCAATTATGGATGCAGATGGAAGAAACGAGTCAATTATATTTATTAAACATGGAAAAGGAGCACTTAGGCTGTTCTGTCTTTCTGTGTGTAAGGAATATACTTTACAGGGAAGGAACCAGACAGAAACCATACCAGATGCTATGCCAGTGATCCACAAAGCTGTAACCATTTAGCAGAATTTTGGTTTTTCACCCTTAACGTAGGCAAGCAAAACTTGTGCATTTCCAGTAATGTTTTCCAGTCATGACTGTAAATAGGTAGGGGATTTGCCAAGATAGATTCTTTAAAGATAACAAAGATAAGCAGATACTCTTGGGACGGGGCAAAAGCATGGCTTGCTGTTACATAACTGTGATTGATTGTGAGACTAGCTACTGTCCTGTTGTTTACTCAAAACCATAGATGTCTTTCCAGCTTGTGCATGAATTAGAAGCATTTGCTTTTATTTCCATACATTAGCAGATGGGACAAAATTTGTAGTAGAACTGCTTGGTACAAATGGTCATGCTAAACCTAGTGCTACCGACTTTGAATAGTTTTTTTCACACAAATGCATGTGATCCGCAGCAGAGGGGAGGGCAGGCAACGTTTCTGTGCTGCTCGAGCTCCCTCTACTGGTTTTTTGGAAGCAGGGAACGGGAGGCGACAGCTGGATGACGGTCTCGGCTGTGGGAAAGGCAGGCTTGGTGGAAGACTAGACTAAAAAGGTCAAAAATGTTGAGTGGAAAACTGAATCTCTGGAATCTTAATTTACCTTGCTCATTCCATTATTTGTAATGTAGTCTTTACTTATATGACCTACGATTTTCAGCAGAGCTTTGGTCTTAGGAGATGAGTAACTGTCACGGAGCGTATTTTACATCTTGCAGAAATTAAAAGCCACTTAGGAAATGCAGTGGCACTCAGGAAACAGAAAGTGTAAGCAGCTTCAGTATGAGTGTCCCCAGGCTTCCCAGGATTTGCATGCTTTATAACTTTACTGATAAGGTGACAAAGAACGTAAGAGAGGAAAGTAGTGTTTAATGAAAACCAAGTGTTATATTACAGGCAGTCTATATGGTGCTCAAATATTAAAAATACAATTAAAAAATGAAATTATGAAATACAGATATGTCAGCTGATACCAACCTGCATATATAAACATACACACATAATCATTTTGTTTAAAATGAGATAATGGGGATATAGTAGCGTATTTTTAATCTCTCCAAGTTTATGTTGAGCCACAGGATAAATTTAATAGGCACTGAAAAGGGGATGAAGAACTGCAGTGAGTGGATAGTGTTGGTCTTGTTAAAAAGAATCTTGACAAAAATGCTGTCAGGAATGTAAGCCTTAATTTCATTAATTACATCAATTTGCTAGAATGCTGATATGGAAGACTTCCATTGTTGCCTAGAAAACAATATCCTTGTTCTCTTGCTAGAAATGAAGATGTGGTAGTTTTATGAAATTGTTCATATTGCTCAATTAAATTGTTTTTAATCTATTGTGAAAATAAAAGCTAAAATTAAGTTATAACCATGTAATAATAATCTCAGTTATTTCTATTAGTCACTAAGAAGATTTAGATGAATAATTAAAGTGATTATCACAAATTTGAGGAAAGTTTATAAACAAAATGTGAAAATAAATTGAGATTAAATTATTAAAAAATACTTGATTTTTCATTTCTTTTAGAATGTACTACTCTACAGAATGTGATAAAGGGTCTAACACAAACCATCGAAAACCAGTGTAATGTGAAAGGTAAAAGCAAAGATGTTCTTCTGTGTTCATATAGTACTCATCTGTACTCCAATTTAGAATGCACAGGCATTTGATTTTTTTGTTTACTGTGTTTCTCAGAGAGAGAAACTCATTGATAGCCAAACAGAAAGGAAATTAAATGTATCTAAAATCAATCTTGTGCAGATTTTGGAGGTCTATATTCTTAATGAATGTCTATTGCTGTTACCCCAAATAGAATCCACATGTAAAAGAAGTTCAGCCTCAGTGAGGTTTTTTTTTTAAACAATAGTTGGGCTTGAAATTTATTTCAGCATGGCAGTGGCAATTCTACGAAAAGTGATAAAGTACAATTCAACTGTTGGACCGTAGTCTATTAAAGCATTTATGCATAGTTCTTATCAATTTATAAAGAAAAAAGTCTCAATCCTCCGTGTAGTGTGATCAAAATCTAGCTGTTGTCCATAAATACTTGACAAAAAATCACTGCTATTTTAAAATATATTATACAAATATTTGCTGTATCTTTATACCACAGTTAAGCTGTACACAGTGTAGTTAATTTTATACCTGTTGTATGTTCAAGGCATATTGAAAATAAATATTAATAAATCTCTAAAAAGTGGAGGCATATAGCTGCTTTTAATACCCAAAGTGATTCTTCATCATCATCATTATCTGCTTTTTCCAAATTTTGTTTCTGAGATACTACTTTCTAGTTTTGACAAAACAAATACTTTAAAAGTTGCATCTTCCAGTATGAAACTGTTGTAGCCATGATAATATTTTTTTATTCCCTGAACCAAAGAAATTTGCATCTAGATTTTCTAGAATGCATCCATTAGGAGAAGGTTAAAGACAGTTCAGAGCAGTAATACCCGGCAAATATTATGATTAAACTATTATTTTTTCCTCTTTTAAAAATGGAGACTGAGATTCTGTAGTTCTGAAAATTATGGTTATCTTCTCTAAAAAAAAAAAAAAAAATGTGTCTTAAAGTTCAGACAAGTCAAAATATGAAAGTGATTTCCTTATTCTGCTTTCATGCTAATAATACTGTGCAATTGTACTTTTTAGTGTATCATATAGTTTTTTATTTATGTAGATGAAAATGATAGATTGAAGGCTACCATTCACATCTTGGAAGAGAAATTAAAGGCTTGTGAACAGGTACGTCACAAGTGAGCATTCTTCAGGCAGAGGAATAACATTTTACCTCTATGGTAGTGGCTCAGCTAACTTTATGTTCCTGGGTTTGCTACTAATAGTGTTATTGTTGCACTTTTCCCGATGTTTATCATGTGTGAAAGAGAAGAGCTGTTCTGGTGACAGTATCAAAATGAGAATGTGTTAGAGGGTCCAAGAGGTAAGAACCAGCCAGTGCTGAGAACTGTGGCTCAATCTAAAATGCACTTATTTTTTAGCTGTATTTAGCATTAAATCCAACTTTACATTCTAAAATCGAATCCCTTGCATTAAAATACATTTTTGTGTGCAATTAAGTGTTTAATATTTACAATGCCTACTTTACTGCCAGAGAATAAAGAACTGTCTGAATTTTGTCTGTAGTTTCTTTGGGACTTAATGCTATGAAGATAACAGGTCTCTGCTTTTTATGTGTCTCAGTAGAATCTGTTTACTGTCTCTCTACTTCTTATTTACCCCACTCATTTTTGGAAAGGAGGTAACACCAGAAGGGCTAATCACAAGTTGTGTTAGTTCTCTGTGCTAAGATCGCAAATCTGGTACCTGTATAGGATTAGGAAATACACTGATGATTTTTCTTGCTTGTGTACTAACTGAGTCAAATTTTTATCTCAAGAGAGCTGTTATCTTGACAGTTTGAGAATAAAATAAGTAATGGCTCCTGAAAGACATGATCAAACTATGATTCTGTACGTTATAATACATGCATGGCCATGGTGGAACTTCTAGTGCTGTTCTGAAGGCACCTGCCTGAGTCCATATATGCTGTTACCACCAATCAGTAACTGCCTTTGTGAGTGCCTGCAAGCATTGCTCTGGGGAGTGACTACCTGCCTTCTCAGAAGGCTCTGATGGGAACTTTGGAGGGAGCACATCTACAGTGGCAGCTACAGCAAATTAGGTCCTTGATAGTTCTGGAGTAACTGGAGCATGCTGCAGGCATGCTCAAACTCTTCACTTGAGTACCAGTGCCACCAGCATCACTACTGCTGGTATATGACTGGTGTCTCTACAGCTGCCAGTATGAAGTTGTGTAATCCTTGGTATGAGCAATATTAACAAAATTCATACTTCAAATTTTTTTTTTTTTTTAATACAATCTTGAAGTCAAAAATCCACAAAAGTAAAACTGTAGTAGCTTAACCTACTGCAGGATTGTAATCAGATCCTGGATCGGGGAAAGCAGTATTGCCTTTCCATTGGCTTCTTCTCCTAATAGGTAAAATTTCTCATCTTATATTAACTGATAGCTGTAATACAATGAAATCTGCCTTATTTTTAATCTATAGACTTTATCAAGATTGTATGAGAGGTAACTGGGCATTTTGAGTTTACTAGATCAGGGATAAAACAAAACTAGGTTACTGAGTACTGTGCATTTTTACATGACTGCTGTGCTTTGCAGGACAGTAAGGGCACAGAAACCTCAAGATTTTTATCAAGCTTTTTGCTTTCACAGGAATATAAAGATCAGATTGAGAAATGTATGACAGAAATTAAACACAAGGAGGAAGAACACAAGTTAGAAGTAACACGGCTGAATTGTGATACAAGACAAAAACGTAAGTTCTCCGCAGACTGCATGCTGCTTACTGCTCTGGGCAAGTCACCTTGTACCCTGTAGGAGCTGTGCTTCATCTGCTGGTAGAGTGTTGTACGCCTGCTCAGGCTAGGACATTATTTTCACAAATAAAGGATAATGCAACAAGAAAAAACAGATTTCAGTATTAATTTTTTTCCCATTATTGGCATAGCCTTGCAGAGTAGGACTTTTTGGTCACCCACATACTGAATAAAGCCTGACAAGCAATTTGTAAAATATGATGCTTCTTTAAAGAGACTTCATCTAACTGGGATGAGACAGGGTGTTTTTCACATAATTTTGAATTATGTTTTTTTCTTCAGTTAAATTGTTTTCCCACAAAATATTGACCTGCTATTCAAGAAAGTTTTAATATTGGGGAAATTGTGTTGTTTTTTTCTTCTAAACATCTTCAATATTCATCGTATTTCGTGTTACTGTGTTACTAGTTGAAGTAAAAGAACTCGAGTATAGAGAACAGAGAGAGAGAAAAGAACTGGAAATATTAGAGCTAACTAGACAGTTGAAAATTCAAAATGAAGAGAAGCAGAATGAAATAATTAAACTGCAGATAGAGGTATGCTTTACAAAGCTGAGTTAAAGATTAATTGGTCGTTGGGTAAACTTAGAAGAGACTATGTAGCGAAAAATGTTAATTACCACTTAACAAAGTAATATGATGGAATCTAGGAAACTTAAACTGTTGTCTTCACAAAGATCAGTGTCACATGCTCCCTTCCATAATGGGACCTGAGTCACTTCTGCTCGGGAATTTACTTCTACCTGCTGTATAGCGAGGCTGAAGTTTGCTCTATTCTTGTTTCAAGTGAAATTTTGAAAATTTTGCTAGCTTTTGAGCTATTAAAAAAAAAAAAAAAAAAAAACCAGAAAAAAAATACTCCTTATTTTTATTCTTCCTAAGTTCTGAATTCTGGGGAGATATAAATATATATATTTTTAATAAACTTTCAAGAGCTTAAGATGTCTAATCCTGCAGAGATTTAAGTTATAGCATTCAACATATATTTCATGACTCAGGTTTTAATCCACTGTCATCACAGGAACAACTAAGGAAATCCTTCAAGGCCTTCACACTTGAGAAAATAATTGTTGTGAAAGCATCCGGGCTGAGTTAACCTTGGAGAATGGGGGAAGGGTGGTGGTGTCAGAGGCTGTTAGGATCGTCTGCATGTTCTCCTCATGCTGACGTGCAACTGTGGAGCCTTCACGGTTTTCATTAGTAGTCTTGTTCATCTAAATGTATTTGGTTCATTGTATTTCTACTATTTACTTTTTGAAATATTCTGAGACATTTTTTAAAGACATGTAACTTGTAAATGCATTCTTTTAAAAATATTCTTAAGTAGCTTCATTGTCCTAGCATTAAATAGTAGATAAGCTTGCTATTAGTGCTTTCAGGTATAAATCCACTTTTAGATAGTGAAAATTATACTTTTATTATTTAACATGCTTTTTTACCCGTCCGTTTTTAATGCTTTGTCTTTTCTCCATTCCTCCAGTTCAATGCTAAATTAGCAAGAGTTCAGAACAAAACAACAAAATCGTTTTCAGATGCTTCTGTCTTGCCACAAAGTATCTATCGAAGGGTAGGCGCTTCAATAGTCTGTAGCCTGCATATGCTAAATACTGTTACAGTGTGTTTGAAACCACAGCTCCCTGAGGTCCTACCCTATTTGTTCTGGAGCAGAAATGTGGGGAGGCAAAGGAGGGAGGAGGGCATTTCATGCCTTTTGGGTCCATCTTACTCTCCCACACACCCATCCCACCTCTAGACAACTAATTTCGTGTCTCTTTGCGCTGATGTTGATACAGCTGGGGTTTAACAACAAAAGCCCCCCTGTGAAGTGGGTTTAGTACACAATTTGGTTTATTTTAATTCTGTTTAGTACAGAATGGTTAACCTGGGAACTTCAGCTAGCACAGATGTGACTGTGCTTTAAATCCTGTATGTGCATCCTGGGTTTTGTAGGCTTGGGACGTTGGGACATCACAAAAATAGGATGCTAGGGAAGCCATTTTGTAATTTTTTGATACAAAATAGCCACAAAAATGTTATTGGAATATTTCTCATTAGTAATAGCATATTGTATTGTTACCTAACGTGATGTTTAACAGTGAAACCTTTGCTTGCATGTTTACAGAAGCTGCAGCACCTCCAGGAGGAGAAGAACAAGGAAATTGATAGTCTGAGAAAGACCATAAGAGACTTAGAGCAACGTCTCAATAAAGGCCAAGACCTGCACTGCAAGCGGAAGCGATTCTGAGTGCCTCACACCAAGGATTTCATTAGAACATACAGTGAGAAATAGTGCATCTCAAACTGTGCCTCTGAGAGGAAAAACAAGATATGAAGAAATGCAGAATATTTTTTATTGAAAACACTCTTGTCAAACACTCCAAAGGCACACGTTCTGTGTATATTCAAAGCTGCTTTCTTGCTAATCAGCATTCACAATAAAAAGACTCAGGTTCATAGGAGTAGTAATTTCCCTATTAAACCATCATTAATTATGGTGTACACCTTCAAAGCAGTTTTCCTTTCTTGAATATTCTCTTCTTCATCCAGGAATCCTTCAAACAATTATATTTTTACTTTAACTCGGTTAATCAAAGGTTAGGTATGCTAAGCTAAAGACAGAGAAGTTATACAAGTTTAAGTGGCATATTACGTTACTAACCAGTACAGATGTATCGAATTCAGCTCTGTTATGAACAAAGATAAACATTATACCAAGATTATTTAATTAACCTCTTTTTGATGCTGATTCTGCATGACGACTTGTTAACACTGCTTCTCACTTTAGGCACGATCTTACTGATTTAGTGGGATTTTACAAGCTGTAGTACTGTGCATTAATGGGCCCTCATACTGAATCTAGACCATAAAAGTTAAGCATATAAACCTGTTACTTTAAAATAATGCAATTACTGCTTGTATCTTGCATTTGAGATTAAAAGTTATTTTGTCACATTGCTTAAGAATAAGCTTTTCTTGTACATAATTTGTATCCCCAGGTTAGAGAAAAAAAAAAAAAAAAAAAAAAAAAAGGAAACAAATTAACTAAAATAAAAAAAATATTATTTTGTCTCCCCAGGTAGAAAAAAAAAAAAAAAAAAAAAAAAAAAAACCAACAAAACAAAATACCACCACAACAAAAACAAACCAACTTCCAATTTATGCATGTATTCCATCTTCTCAATAAAAAAATGATTAAAATATCTGTTCTTATTATCCTCTATTCTTGATTGCAAAACATCAGACAGGAGCCCCTAGGTCATAGTTTATGCTCCTGTCCTCACAAATGCAAGCAGAATGTTAGAAGACAAACAAGAAAGACACATTAACCAAGAATGCAGACACCTTCCCATCACCACTGAAAAACAAACTATAGGTCAATTAATTTCCTTTGTGAAGCTTTTCACTGATGCAATCTGACAGGTATTGTGTTGTTCCAAGAGCACTGCTCCAGAAGTATACTTTGCAATATTTTAACTCTTCACACCTGTCTTAGTATAGTTTTTAATCAAGGGCAACAAAACCAGTCTTAATTTCTCCACTCTTACAACTATATGAATTTAGATAGTAGGACTCCCTTTTTAAGGTGCTTAGTTTGTTTTTCAGTCTCAGTTTCTTGCCTCTGCCTGTCACTGTCAGGTGTTGCTCGTTTCAGTTGCTCCTGCTGCTGGTGACTGTCAAGCAGCAGCAAGCAGACGTCACTGTCAAGATTCAGTGATGTCCTCTGCTGAAAGCTGGCCATGTCACCTGCAAGAATTTGGAAGTGCTCCATGACACTGTCAAGTGACAGAATTTCCTATCTCTTCAAACAGAAGGTGTCGGCAATGACAGCATCAGCTACTAGAATTGGAGTCTGATGCTGTCTGCCAGCTTCAGGTTAACTGGTTCTTACAGCTGTTTTTCCCCTTTTTTCATAGCTTTTTATCTTGTGTAATTCCCACACTTTCCTGAGGAACAGTGTCTACCTGTTCATGACTACCTGTCTGATCACGTCTGCTATGGCCAAAGACTCTATGACGCCGACCGCTGTGAGGATGATGTCTTTGAGTTTCAGAAGGAGCCTGATGGTTCTCATTTTTGGAATGATGACTGCCATCATGATGGTGGTGGTGGTGATGTCTATGTCTGTGCAGGTTGTGGTGATGTGAATGCTGGCCATTTGGTTTGGGTTCTACCTCTTCTAGCTTTTCATCTGCTTTTTTAGTGATGTTTTCACATATACCATCAATATCAGGTACCTGCAAAACAGAAGCTTGCATTAAATACGAGGCTTTGCAATTAGTTAAAGTAGTTGTTAAATATTATTTATCTTAACATTTTTGCAGAACCTGAAACACAATTTTAAATTACTTGTGCTACTTTAGTGAAGAAGATACGAATGTATTAAAACCACTTTGTTTTACACCGCCACTGATAACTAGGCAAGGCTCCTAATGTAAACTTCTAGGAACTGTAATTCAAGTAATTGCTGATAAGAAGTATCCTTTTTCTAGGATGCCACATCTGACCTGCCTGAGGCCTACACTTAGCTGGAAAACTGTGTGATGGGATCAAAACTGATTCCTCTCATTGAGCCTTCGTTACTATGTATGTACATTTCTGGATAATCCTGAAAGTAGTTCTGATCTTTAGTTACATGTAAAACAAAACTACCCTTCTTTTATAATATTATAAATAATATT